AAACTGCCAACTTCCCATTCCGCCGTTACAGTGTGTCAGACTTTTACAAATACCGCTCGTCCTCAAACCACTTTTAAAATGCATCTCGCGATTTCTCAAGGCGATGCATTAATCTTGTGCACAAATTGCAATTTCCCGAGCAGTATTAGCCAAATCAATCTTGTAAGAGTAACAGATTTCATAAAACTTAAAATAATTTAACTTATCTTGAACGAACGACGAGCAACTCGTTATGCTTAGTATATTTTAGAATAATAATTTCTAGTGAATACTGTTACACCCAAAATTTTGAATTGCATTACAAGAATACATTTTTAGTCCAGTCGGTATCTATTTTAAAAGTAGGTTGTATGGATGTTTCATATAGTAACGCTAATTTTTGTTGGAAATAGTTCTAAATATTTTGTAAAATGATAATTGCGATATGCGCCCGCTGGAAAAGTTGTGCATAATTGTTAGCGCAAGAAAATGTAAAAAAAAATTAAAAAGGCGCATTTTGCTCCCTTTTTTCGTGTATAACTCGGAAAATATTGACATTAGAGAAAATAGTCAAAGGACAAAATGTTTCGTTTTGAGATTTTCTTCAAAATAAAAGTGGTCCGATTTTTTTTTTTATACATTATTGTTGCTGCAATACAGTATAGGCCGAAAATATATTCTTGAAAAAAGATGTTGTTTTCATGAATTTATTTCGGATCTTGACTTTAGAGCAGCCACATAAAAAGTATGGTTCTGAGTACTTCATGATATAGCAGTACTGCACAAATTTTTTCATCGAAATCGGCAGGGTATTTTTTGCACAATTCGATTGTTAATTAAGAAAATACTTACAGAATTATACTTATTTTTCAAGTCTTTCTCACGGTAAAACCAATGATTATTTTGAGCTCCCAATTTTTATACATACATTTTGGAGTCTCACCTATCAATCCCCATTCAAAAATTTTCGATTTTATCCATTTTAGCAACAATTAGAATTTTTTCTAAATTTCTTCGAAAAAATACTTATAAACATTTAGAGCTTAAGCTACCATATTTGCGTATTCTTCAAATATAATTATATGATCAAATAGAGGAAGGATTGACGAACAAAATCCACTTTTGATCTTGTGGATACGATAAATCGTCATCGAGATATGAAAGCTCAAAGTTGAAGTAAGTTTACGGCAAAACAACGTACTGTACAATAACAATCAAAGTGATTTTGATTGAAGCAAAGGCTTTATAACTATGAAAATTTGTTTAAATCGGAAATATATTTTAACTGTTCTGATGAAAAAAAGATTGATACATTTCACAGGAATCGAGCAGAGAGTCAAAGAGTGTGAAGTGGGGGGACTATGCGAGCGGTGCAGCATAATTAAAAAAAAATTCTACATTTTCTTACGCTAACAATTATGCACAACTTTTTCAGCGGGCGCATATCGCAATTATCATTTTACATAATATTTAGAACTATTTCCTACTAAAATTAACGTTACTATATAAATCATCCATCCCGGAATAGATACAGACTGGACTATTTTATTAAATTATTATTAAAATGTGCTAATTTTTAAAAGTATTGCCGGAATAGAAGTTTTAATAAAGTCATATTTAAATAAAAACAAAGTTAGTACATATTTACATTTTGGCTTTTACATATTTAACTTTAAATCTGTTCTGCGATAGAAAATTTCGAATGCAGAGCTTGTTTAATATATGCAATAAATCACTTAGAAGTCTATGAACTTTAAGTTAAACAAAATTCAAATTCTTCTCTTGAATATCGACTCTGAGTTAAAGTTGAAGGGTGGAATATTTTATCAAATTCAGGCGACATTTTTACGATAAATATAGGAAGAATTCGTTTCCATAGTTGGAAGAGTCATATAACATAAAAAAAGAAGGAAAAGAGCTCATATTATGAATATGTCCTAAAAAGCGATATAAGGGAGCTATCTCTGTTCAATTTTTACTTAGAACTGTTTTTCATGAACTAGATTAAAATTAGAGAAAGCTGCCACTTTCAAATAATAGCTTTTATTTTCAGTAATTCATGTACCAAAATATATATCCATATCTAAAGCGATTCCAGAAATACAAAGCAAAAACCCATTCTTAGTGCTATCACGGATACTATGTATATTTCTATTGACAAGTAAAATTTAACCATTTTGATGCAATTTGTCTCATAATAATACGCAATACATAATATAAAATTGCATGTGTTATAATTTAAAGATAAGTAGGTAATTTTTTTTTATATTATAGACATGTAAATTTAAAATGCATATCGATTTCTTAAAATATATGATAAAGAACATAGTAATTCAGTATTTCTAATTGTAAGTGTAAAACTCATAAAACGAGCACCAAGATTTAATGGATTTTACCTATTTCTGCTCTAGTCTGTTTGAATAAAGAAAAACAAAGGTTCGAGTGGAGTTTCTCCTAAGAACTTAAATGGGTTTCTAGAGCTCATACTCTTAATCCATTATAATCAGTTAATATTTTATTACCCTTGTACCTATACACTTTAAAATTTTATTATAGCGATTAAGTTTGATGTCACAGATGTAGTTTAACTTCATTGGATATAATTAAATGTGTGTATATTGTTAAGATAATTTAATACTTAACTGAATATTAAACTAAATATCAATCAAATTTAAATTGAATTTCGTTAAAAATTATAATTAATTGTTTAATTATTAGGAAATTAGGAATTTTTAGATTTGTAATTTTTTCATAAGAACTTGTTTTCGTAAAAATGTTCCTGCATGCACTAAAACTCTTTTTAGATAACTAAACATTCAAACTATCTTAATGTTGTTTAAAAGCCTCGTTTTTTTACCAAATAATAAAATTTTATAGCGACTACTGTTAACTTATTCTTTTGCATTTACTTTCTTCATTTTTCAAGCACTCTATTTAAAACAAAAATTTATGGTAACTGAATTTCTAAATTTATGGTGATATAACCAAAATTAATTTTTGTGCGTTTGAATTTATTAAACATTGAAACAAAAATCAATACTTTATACAGGGTGATATCCAATATATTGCATTAAATCTAAAAATTGTTTCTATTCAAAAATAATGATACAAGTTCTTTTGATACTTTTTGGAAAATTCGATATTAACGGAGTCTCATAACAAAGTTATTTTAGTAGATTTTATCATAATTTTTTTTTCGCTTTCTCTTTAAAATTTAGTATATCTGTTTCTGGTATTAACAAACTACATACGTGAATGAAAATCATCAATCAGAAAATCAGTCAGAACTTATGTGTGCGTTTTTTCTTTAATTAAGCCCTTTAAGCTCTTTAAAGAAGCTTCTTGTGGAAAATCAGTAACACTCACGGTTTCCAGAAAAAAAATTGATTTAATATTCTAGGGCACTCTTATCTTAAAAACGGATAAAATTGAGGTGTTTTGCAATAAAAGCAGAATTTGAAATAAAAGAAATCTACAGAGCTTCGTAAATGATTACAAGCCACGTCGCCAGTAATTTTGTTTGAAACAGTAATTTTATTTCCTTCACGTTGGCAACTAAATTTCGGTAAAATTGAAATAATAAGATCAATATTACATTAAAGCAAAATATTCTGTTTCACCAACTGTGATTGGTGTAATTTTTCACGAGATAGTATTCAACTAATCAGCGATCGCATTATCTCAGGCGTAAACGTAACGGTTTGTCAGTGTTCATTGCAAACGAATCATTAATATTGGTGACGCCAAGATTTAGGGAATTTTCGTTACTAGGACCAGTCCTGCAATGTTGGTTGCCTAAGCTCAGCAGTCACGTGGCTTGTAAACATTTATGAAGGCTCTATATATTTTATGCAACTGTAGGCACTAATATCTATCTAATTATTTTAAATAATTTATAAAAATTGAAATATTTAAAAATAATTCACATAGAAAAGAAAATATAGTTCCAAGTGCCTATTACAAAGCATTAAACGAATTTTTAATCGGAAACGATTATTCTTTTCGTAAGATCTTTTAAATGATTTGATTTTATGAAAAAACTACAAACAAATGAGTTTTGATCAATAAAAGCAACTTGAGACCTATAGGGTTTTTGAATAATAATATTTTTTTGTTCGTAAATATAGTTTGCAACCCATAATAACCACACCAAATAACAAAGAAATCGTTTAATTCAAATTTTTGTAAGAATTGTTTTACTTGTTTGACCTAAAACAACTTGTGTTTTCGCAGAAGAAAATCTGGAATCATACAAAGATTTTACTCATATAAACACTTTTCCAAAATGTTTACTTTACGCAATACTTTTCTTTCTTCAGTTTGAGGACACATAGCATCCAACTCGCTTGTGTTTATTTAAGCTTTCTTCATGTTTTTACTGAAACTTTTATCCGTTGAGCATCGGAATCTCTCCAGATATCTTAGTAACTACAATGTAGTTGTTTGTAATGTCCTCGAGCATTGTTGTACAAAACATTTGTGTTTTTATTTGGCTTCCCGATTCATTAATATGGATAGGAAAGCTACAAAAAGTGGTTTAAAAGTTTAAATATCAAAACTTTTCGTTAAAACTGTTTCATAAAATCAAAATTTAAAAATATCATTATTAAGGAAATAATGGAAACGGAAAAAACAATATTTTAAAATCCGTTAAAAATTTGAACATTCCAGGGGGGAAATATATTAGTCCAAAAATTGATCCTCCTCCTCCCTCCTTGTAGGTAGGATAGGGGGTAACTTTGATATCTTAAATAGGAACCCCTATTTTTTTTTAATTTGAATTCTGCGGCTGAAAGTACGTAGGATTTGTCTGAATATTTTTTTTCGATTCATGTCGCTATAATCGATTCATGATAGATGGTGCTGTAATCGACCATGAGAACCTATGGATAATCATTTTCACAGTAACTAAATCTATTAAAGGTTCCTCACCTTACGTTGGCCAATATTTCTGGGGTTATTAATTATTTATTTGGTATTAAACTAAGAAGAATATGTCATAGTAAACTTCAAATACTTACTTGATATAATAAGTTCTTCCTGAGTCATCTAGCGCTCTTTCCCAACCATAAGGCAAAGCGTCCTCCCCAGTTTTCCAAGCTTCCACTGGAGGTAACCAACCTGCTGTCCGAGTAACATGGCTGTAACAAAATAAATAGTAATTAGATTTGCTCTAAAAAATATTCAGTAATATTACATATTCTTTACACACCGACAGGTTAATCATATTTTGATGCAAAATAATATACCACAACAATAATTACCAAGACTCCATGCAGTAGAAAAATTACTAGGTTAATCAAATTAATGTATATAATGAATTTCTTTACTATCGAGTTATATTTATTATATTATTATATTTATTATATTTATTTATATTTAATTATATTTTTATAGTTTCCAAAACTTTTGTTACTCTTGTTAGTTTTCAAACAAAACACGAATAACTATTAATAGACTAGGCGGTATCTGTTTTGATTTGGGTGAATCGTATATCCACGGAGATTTTTGGCTTTTTGGCTTTCAAATATCACTAGAAATGAATTTCTCTTTCTATGCGCATAAAAAAAAACGTGGGCTTAACTTTTGGCGGCACAATATGTTAAAAAAATTCGAAAAAATCGCAAATATGGGATTAAAAAACAATACTTTTTAGGGAATTTTTTTGGGGTATTTAAATTGGATATAGGACTTTTATACTTGGCTCAAGAAAACTTCATGTTATGTAGAATCTTCACACCAAATTTCATCAAAATCGGTTCGATAGATTTTGCATAATAATTTTGCAATCCAATTTTGAAAAAAAATTTGCAAATTTTCAAAATTTTGCACAGCAAATACCAAGGCCCTTAGATACCTACTTGAAAATTTAATCACATATAGAAGGGCTCTCAAGCTTTCAAACTTTTTTTTTGAAAAACTTGAATCCATCAATTAGGAGAGCTCTGGCGCTTTTTTAAACATTGGTCGAATTTTTGTCCTTATAAACAATTAGAATAATTTTGTGAATATTCAATCAAATCAAATTTTTTAAACTTGGCTTTAAAAGTTCTTGGAAAGACGCTTCTTTTAAAAAAAAACACATCGATTGATCAATTAGTTACGTAGTTATAGCCGATCAAAGTTAACCGTCATTTACACTAAATGTCTGGGACATCCGGACTAATTTTTCGAAAAATACCTTTGGTATTCCGTGTACTTACCAGGTCTAAGATTACAATACTTTTCTTCATTGGCAACCTACTTTAAAACGTGTTTAAAGTTATTTATATAAGCGAGAAATTCAAGAAAATCGTACGGGTGGTGGTGGTGGGGGAAGCAGAGAGCGCAGCCGCTTTGGTCTGCTCGAAATTGAAACCGCCATACGCTAAAAAATTTTTAATATCTCACCTTCTAGAGGTCCGATTTTGATGATTTTTTTTTTAATTTTAGCGTATTTTCAAATGCCTATCGTTAATAATTATTGGTGTTTCAACAGTCCGATAATTATTTATCTTTAAACTTCCTTTACTTATCAACTTTATTTTTCTATTGTATCAAAGGTAAGTGCATAAACTTATATACTGTTTATCAAAGATCAAAAACAAATTTATTTAAATATTCTAAAATTGTTTAAACAACAATTATTTTCAAAATATGTCGAAAATTAGTAATAAATTAATTAATTAATTATTAATTTAATCATCATTTCTTTTGTGATTAAAGTATAATTCAAATATTATTTATTGTTTAAAATATAAGCAAATGAGAAATTAACTCATTATATTACTAATTTTCGTCATATTTTGAAAATAATTGTTGTTTAAACAATTTCAGAATATTTAAATAAATTTGTTTTTGATCTTTGA